CGTTCCCACCACTCCTCCCGCCCGCGACGACTACCTTTCACTCCACCAATCGACTCCGCCGAGTCGCGCGGAACCGCCCATCATGTCGCGCACACAGCAGGTCGAGCATACCGACTCCATCAGCAGCCAGGACCCCAGCCGCGACGAGCCGAAGAAGACCAAGAGCAGGAGGCCGCCGAGTAAGCCTGATATGGACATGCGCGAAGGAGGGCATTGCTGATGGGATACTAGATACTGCGTTCAGGCAGCAGCGCTTGAAGGCATGGCAGTAGGTGGAATCATGGCGGCAGATGGCATCACCCACGACTAACCGCGCGACAGGCCCATCTTAACGCCGAAGACCGTTCTGCCTCTCTTCTTCATCGTCGGAGTTATCTTTGCCCCCATCGGCGGGCTGCTTCTCTATGCTAGCGCGCAGGTCCAGGAGATCTCAATCGACTACACAAACTGCAACTCGACCGCGCCCCAAGTTCCCGTAAACTTCGACCCTAACGCCGAAAACCCGCTCGACCCAATTCCCGGCGGCAGAGTATCCGCGACCTTCAGGTCGAAGGAAGACCCCCAGGCGATGTGGGGTTGGGGCCGCGAGAACTACACCTTCGAGTCCGGCGTCGTGCAAGAGACCAACGTGTGCATCCTCAGCTTCAACATTCCGGAAGATATCAAGCCGCCGATCCTGTTCTACTACCGCCTCACGAACTTCTACCAGAACCACCGCCGCTACGTCAAGTCCGTCGATATCCAACAACTCAAGGGTGATGCCCGCAGCGCCAGCGATCTCAGCTCGGGCGACTGCTCGCCGCTGGACGTAGACTCTGAGACAGGCAAGCCGTACTACCCCTGCGGTCTGATCGCGAACTCCATGTTCAATGACACATTCAGCCAGTTGACGCTTGCCAACCCCGCGGGTGGCACAAACGCCGGTGGCCAGAACTACACCATGACTGTGGAGGGAACTTCATGGAGCCACGAGGGTGATCTGTACGGCGAGACAAAGTATAAGCCTGAGGATGTTGTCCCACCACCGAATTGGCAGGAACAATACGAGAATGGGCGTTACGGCGATAAGCTGCCTAACCTGCATACTTGGGAGCAGTTCCAGGTCTGGATGAGGACCGCGGGTTTGCCTACGTTCAGTAAATTGTACCAGCGCAACGACAAGGATGTGTTGACTGCTGGTACTTATCGTCTTAAGATCTATGACCGTACGTTCTCCACATCCATCTTCCCTTTCCACCCCTCCACCCCCTCCCTCCCTTTACCCTTTCTCCATCATACTAACACCCCCCAGGCTACCCCGTCGACAAATACAGCGGCACAAAATCCATCCTCATCTCCACGCGCACCGTCATGGGCGGCAAGAACCCCTTCCTCGGCATCGCATACCTCGTTGTCGGCGGTATCTGCATCTTGCTCGGAGCGGTCTTTTTGGCTACGCATCTGATCAAGCCGCGCAAGTTGGGGGATCATACGTATTTGACTTGGAATAATGATCAGCCTAGTAGTGCTACTACGACGGGGAGGGCTGGTGGTGCGTAAGCTATAGGCACAATGCCTCGCGCAGTGAGGGCTGGGCTAGCCGTTCTTATTGCTGTGTGAAGGGTATCGTACTGTACGTATATCATAAGCCTTTCTTATTGGGCGGACAGGGCGTTTGGGTGTTTTGAGAGCGTAAGGGCTAGAGCATAGTCGTGTTTATTGACGTTATCCAATTTCATCTTATCACATTCGAAAGTCTCCCTGGCTTGCAAGATACTAATGAACTCGGATGAAGTGGTCTTAAACATTAAGAAGAGTTTGGATAGCATGACAGACGTCAATGAGCAAGATGGAAACAAGGCAGATCGACATTCAGCATTGACATGATCCCATTCCTCCATTCAGGCTCATGACATACCACCTTCAAGCAACAACAATCGACTTCTATATACACATCCCCAACTCCACCACCTTCTAACAACTTGTCTTTCCCCCACTGACACTGCACGCAGCACCACCCTTACACACCTACCCGTTAATCAGCACACCATCCTTACCAGTACAGGTCTCGTCGAGGCTAAACTTACGTTCTTGCACGCATACCACGTTTTGCCATCGGCGCAGCATCCCGTCTTAGACGGGCAGTATCCCCATTGGTTGTTGGGGTCGCTGCCTTCGGCTAGTTGGGCGTGGTTTGTGGTGAAGTGCTCGTCGTGGTCGAAACATTGCTGGGGGTTGGAGTGTTAGTTTGGGGGGATGGGTGTGGGTATAGGCATGGTGGGATGAGGGATGGGGGTTGATGGAAGAAGAGAATGCGCTTTCGACTTGGATGGGGTGTAGTAATGGTTCGAGTTGGTAGGGGGAGGTGTTACATACCCAGGCGGAGACGGAGGCCGTGGCGGTGAAGAAGAGGAGGATTGCTGAGGGCTGCATGGTGACTGTGTGGGAGGATTGACGATGGCTGTTTGATGATATTCAAGGTCAGGTTGGGCACGATGGGAGCGTAGGAGATGTGCGGTGGAGGAAGCCCTACTTATCAACCTTGAACGAAAGCCATATTGAACAGTTCTCGCTCCCACGACTCAGATTTAGCCACCGATGTAAATGAATAGATTGCAATCGCCTCATCACGAGACGAGCGGGAACGCACGAAGAACTAGATCGGTGTGTCCTGATCTGCTCAGGTCCCTCTCGTATCTGTGAACAGCAAGTGTCGGGCCGTACCCCTGTTTTGAACGCACCTCCGCATGTTTGAGTGCACCGAACTTCGAAGAAACGAAACAAGCTCACGAAATCTCCACCTCCGCACTTGGCATCGCAAGAAAAGCTTCTGTTTCTGCTTGATTATGTTAGTGTCGCTTTCGCATATGCATTGCTGATGCATTCTGAATAGTTTTACCAACCAACCTATTTACTAGGTTTCTACTACACACACAATATAATCTTAATTATCTTAATATTACTATCTTAATAAATTATCTTATTTTAATCTTAGTAATTTCTATTTAATATTTATTAAAAAGTAAAAAGTTATAATAACTTAGTATAGTTATAATTTTAATATTAAGGTCTATATATACTATAGTATATATACTAAATCTAAAAATTTTAGTATTTTATAAGTAGAACGCTACTTAGTAATAAGTATTATAAAATTAAAGCTTTTACTTAGCTAGAGACCTTTATTAATATATAAAAATAAATATATTTTTTTATAACTTATAACTATTTTTATAAAATAAAAATATAGCTTTTTTCTAAATATATTTAATACTTACTTAAGCTACTTATACTAATAAGATAGTTAATATAAAGCGTACTATAATAATAAATAAAATAAATATAGCTTTATATAACTTTTAAAAAGTTAGACTATTTATACTAAATAAAAAATAGCTAAAAAAGTAGCTTAAAAAAGACTATAAGTACTTTTTACTTTTTAACTTTATAAATAGAATTTTAATAAAAGTATAAACTATATTAATACTATTTTATAAATAAAGAAAGAATATAAAGCTCTTACTAAGCTTATTTATAAGTGTAATAATAGTAAGAAGCTTAATAAGAATAAGTAGTATTTTATAAACTAGTTAAAAGTATAAAATAGCTAAGTATTTTAGGCTATACTTAAATTTAGAGATAAAGTATTATATTCTTAGATTAGCCTTACTATGTATTACTAGAGTAGACATTAGAGAGATACAACGTTAGTTCTATTATATTATTTATTATTATTTTTCTACTACACCGCCCTTCGCTTCCTTAACCACTGTTCTGCACATCCTCCTTCCCAATGTAAAATCTCGGAGCTCGCATCCAATCGTAGCTCGTCAACAACTTGATAGATCCCTCCAAGCGAGTTAATCTAGACTGTACGCAGTAGCTGCGCGGCGTAATGCGCGGTTCGGCGTCGGCGTAATGCACAGAGGGCTAATTTCACGACGTGTGTTTCTGCACGAGGTGGGATTCCACCAGTAGACAGTAGGGATAGAAGTTCGAGCGAAAGGAAAGACAGTTGTGGTTGATTTGGTAGCGAAGAGGTTGTACCGCGGAAGAAGAGAGAGGAAAATTGATTAGGGTGACAGGTGCGCTGCACGCTAATCGTGCGCATTGATGTGACATTGGAAAGCCGTCTATACTTGAAGTCGATTAAGACTCCTGGACTAAATGATTCCTACCACTGACCTCGATATCTGCGTAGTAGATTCGTCCTGGTGACCTCGCAATGCTTTGGGAATACATTAATTTCTACACGCTGCTTGTGAGCGGACTAGTCGCGCTCAGGACATCTTGGGTTGAGAACATGTCGGTCTGACGCAGTTCCCCCAATCCTGGTGGGGTTCCGGCATGCTGAGCTTGCAGTAGAGTATGGTCGTAGAGTACCTAGGTAGACAATGCACCCGTGGACGCGTAGGTTGGCTAGCACGTGACGAGGCTTGGCAGGTCTTCAACTTCCTTAAACCAGGAGCGCGCTACCATGCTCCTCGAGTAAACAACCGCTTGCGCAAAATGTTGCATACATCTGCGGATGCGCTTATCGTTCCTTTGATCTCTCGCATGTCGCTGTGGCATGATGCTGGATTCTCAGCCTTGCCCCGCCTTCGTCAGCGGGCGTCACGCTGCAGGCGGGCTGTGCCTTCTGCCTAGGGTGTTGAAGACGCAGTCAGGCCCAAAACTCAGCTTCAGAAGCCAGCCCTTCTCTATCTTCCTCTGTAATGTAACAAGCTGCTATCATATCTTGCGACAAGTCTACAACGTATGATGTTCACGTCCCGCACGAGCGAGCCGCCCAGTCAAACGCTCCGGTGAACAGCTGGAATCCATTCCCATCACTCTGCCCATCGACGCGCAATCCCAACAACTAGGGGAGAAAAAGTCCAGACAGAAACTTGAGATAAGGGTGCCGACTCTTCCTCGTCAGCGAACCGGCGCACGCTGCTGGCCACCTTCTGAAACCGTTGAGGGAGATTTACGGTTGCCAGATTCCCTCCATCACCCACGCATGCGAACGAACCGGCGCAATGCGGCTATTGTACACAATAGACGATGAGGAAATCGCATGGACAGAGGACATCATTCGCAGCGAGGACATACCTTGCTATGCGATTCTCTCACATACTTGGGGGAAGCAAGAGGTGACTTTTGACGATCTCAGAAGCGTCGGTAGTATGAGAGATGTGGAGGCCAAGAATGAGGCGATAGCAAAGAAGAGAGAGGGTTGGGACAAGATTCGCTTCTGCGCAGCACAGGCAAAGCGTGACGACATCGACCATTTCTGGGTAGACACTTGCTGCATCGATAAGGCAAACAACACGGAGCTTTCCGAGGCGATCAACTCCATGTTTCGCTGGTATCAGAGATCAGACAGGTGCTATGTGTACCTTCCAGACGTCGAGGGCAAACCTTCAGCGGAAGACGACATGTCGTCCTCGGGGTGGAGAGCTGCCTTTAAGGCGAGCAGGTGGTTCACCCGAGGCTGGACGCTTCAAGAACTTATAGCTCCGCGCTCGGTGCAGTTCTTTTCTGCAGATGGATCACGCTTAGGAAATAAAGAGTCGCTCAAGCAGACCATACATGAGGTCACTGGAATACCTGTCGAGGCTTTGTCGGGGGGCGACTTGTCGAAGTTCGACATCACTGAACGCTTATCTTGGGCACAAAATCGCCACACGACGCGAGAAGAGGATAGTGCCTACTGTCTCTTGGGCATAGTTGGCTGCCACCTGCCGCTGATCTATGGTGAAGGCAAAGAGAGCGCCTTGAAGCGACTGGGAAAGGAGATCCAGGGATATCCTGAGAGTGTTGCAGGTGCCTCAGCGAATGATATCAAGGCCCACAAACGAGAGCAAGAAGAGAAGCTTATCCAGATTCATAGCTGGCTCTCAGCGCCCGACCCGTCGACGAATTACCGCAAAGCGCATGATCAGCGGCAGGCTGGGACTGGACTGTGGTTGTTAAACAGTGGAAAGTTCAAGAAGTGGAAGGAGGCCCCAGCGTCGCAGCTGTGGCTGTATGGAATTCCGGGATGCGGAAAGACCATACTAAGCTCTACTGTCATCGAACATCTGCTGAAACACTGCGCTGATGACGTTCGCAAGGTCACGATCTACTTTTATTTTGACTTTAATGACGCACAGAAACAAGATGCAGAGCTGATGCTTCGCTCGTTGCTTTGTCAGCTTCTGCGTCACGCTGGTGTGATAACCAAAGACTTTGACGCGTTATTCGCGTCCAGTGGCAACGGGCTTCGCTATCCATCAGTTCATGAGTTTCTAGAAGTACTACCGGAGGTGATACGGCAATTCACAGACGTCTACATGGTTCTTGACGCGCTCGATGAATGTACACAACGCCCGGAGCTGATGGATATGCTTGGGGTAATGGCTGGGTGGCAGCTTGACAACGTGCATGTGCTGATGACTAGTCGGAAAGAGCGGAACATCGAGAAGTCTTTGAAGGGCCATATGGAAGAGGATGATGCTGTCTGTCTTCAAAGGGCGGTGGTGGACGAAGACATATTACGATACGTTCAGCAACGGTTGCGTGACGATCAAGGCCTGGCGAAATGGAACAATGACGTGGGTATCAAGCGAGAGATCGAGACTGCGCTGATGCATGGAGCTCGTGGAATGTATGTCTGCTCGCCCAATTTGCCGTATAGCCGGAGCTGACTTGAATATGGGTTTCGATGGGCTGTATGCCAAATTAGCTCGCTGGCAAAATGTCGAAATCTGGCAATGCTGCGCAAGTCGCTCGCTACTTTGCCACAAACTCTGGACCAGACATACGACCGTGTTTTTGCTGCTATAAGCGAACAGGACCGCGTATACGCGATGAGAATTCTACAATGGCTAACGTTCTCCGCTAGACCCCTCTCTGTCGAAGAAGTTGCGGAGGTCGTTGCCATTGACGATACGCGCGAAACGGTGTTCAACCGTGACGAAGTGCTAGTAGACCCACTGGAAGCCTTGGAGATCTGCTCTAGCCTTGTCGTGGTTACAGACGACTACCGAGTCGAACGACAAGGGCAAGTGAGACCCGGTCTAAGAATCGTCGCTCTCGCTCATTACTCAGTCCAAGAATATCTTGTCTCGGACAGGATCAAGCAGGGGCCAGCCAAAGACTTTAGTATGCAAAGTCTTGAATGTCACAAAGCAATGACTAAAGGGACTCTGGGGTACCTGTATCAGTTTCAGCAGCCAATCGCTGAAGGCACTTTCAATCTCTACGCACTCGTACGATACTCAGCAGAGTTCTGGAGTCACCATCTGAAATCGACCGGGGATGCAATGGAAGAGATGAGTCAATCAGCCATGCATCTGTTCTCTAGAGAGTCCCCGGCATTAATCACCTGGATCCGGGTTTGTGATCCCGAAAGTTTTCGACGCGAACCAGACCTCAAACGAGGCCGGACGGACGGAGAAGGCATCCGAACGCCTCTTTACTATGGCGCTTTGTTAGGTCTAAGCACGATCACGAAAAATTTGTTGGATCAGGGTGCTGAGATTAACGTGCCTGGTGGAAACTATGGGAATCCGCTACAGGCTGCTTCAGCTCTAGGTTACAAGACTGTGGTCGAGCTACTAATCAAAGCAGGCGCCGACGTCAACGCAAAGGCAAGGCTTTTCGGCAACCCACTACAAGCAGCTTCAGCTGGAGGCCACGCTGGAGTGGCCAAGCTGCTGATTGACGCGGGTGCCCACATCAATGCCACTAGTGCGCCTTTGGGCAGTGCACTGGATGCCGCTCTTGATGGCGGACACGAATCGACGGCCAGATTACTGCTCGAACGAGGCGCTAACGCTGGTTTGGACGAGCAACTCAGAGGCACCGTGCATCGCGCTGTGATCAGTCCACGGTGTACATCTTCGCTGGTAAGAATGTTGCAAGACTATGGCGCTTCATTGGACAGCATCGATTCTGAAAACATGACTCCATTGCATTACTGTGTAGACTTCAACCACAAGACTATCGCAATGGAACTCCTCGACGCAGGGGTGCCAGTTGACTGCAGAATTCATCGATCGACATGGCTCCGCGAAACTAAAACAAATAACGTATACGGCGACTTCTATCTCCACAAAAGAATCGAACCGCTTCCGGTTTCGAGTTCCGCCGCTAGGGGTCTAACTCCTCTCCACTTCGCAGCCTTCGTTCATAACGGCACGATGACGAAATTCTTTCTTGAACACGGCGCTGATCCGAATGCTCTTTCACAAAATTGTGAAACTCCTATGCATCTTGCACTTCGCCGCAGTCTTATTGGTATTGGGCCCACGGATTATTGGTCAATACAAGAGCTGCAAGGTTTCGTCCAGGACAAAGAGGGGGTTCTTGATACACTACTCGCACATCCTGAGACATCACTTACAGCGAAAGATTGGAGAGGCGAAAGCCCTCTACATTGCATAAATTACCTCAGGAAGGACAGTGCGACGTTGTTCCAGAAGCTGGTAGCTAGAGGAGCTGATCCTTCATCTTGCAATGTATGGCAACAAAGCCCTTTACACCTAGCCAGTGTAGCTGGTGATCATATATCGGTCAGAATCATGCTCAGCATGGGAGTGAAAGCAACATCGACTGACGACCATGGCCGTAATGCACTCCATTACGCAGCTCGAGGCGAGGATCTTGAGACTATCGTCGCCATTCTTGAGACTGAGGAGGCGGTCACCGTTGATCTCATTACTTCAAAAGATAATTTTGGACGAAATGTGCTGGACCACGCTTTATCTGGATATGATTCGGGGAAAGGAACGCTGGAATGGCTAGTCAATCATGGAGCAAACGCTTCAGGATCCAATAGTCCTTGGAATTTACCTTTGACAGTTTTACATTCACAGCGTCCAAAGTTTCCGAGCGGCCGGAAGAGACTTGGGTCGTCTGGGAGTGGTTATCAGAGCCCTGAGAGTGGATCGGATCGATCATACAAACGGAGGCGCAGGTGATAAGAACGAGACAGACGGTGCTGGATGATGACGAGCCAGACAGTATTCCCCTCTCCCTTCTTGTAGCAGACCTGACGAGTGTGCACATCTTCCTCTTTGCTCACTCATAAGGTCAAATGCCTCGACTGTGAGCGCCCGCATCCCTAGCCATATCATACAGAATCGAATAGAACGCCCAGTGCTGCATCGGATTTCAGTTCACCCGACCTGGTGAGAGAATGCAGTTAAGTACATTATACTTCCATTCCTACGTTGGCCTCAAGCAGTAGGAGTGGTGAGCGAGATGCCGGCTTTTGCTACGCACGGGATGAAGACGGAGAGATTGGCAAACAGTGGGACGGAGTGAGGATGAGCAGTACAAGAGCGGCATAGGATCGTTAGACAAGGGCAATTCGAACGGCTAAGCTGGAAGCAAACATAGAAAAAACGCAAGACGTAGAGGAAGAGAAACAGAGAGTTTAGAATAACACGTAATGTTGCTGATTCTTATGCTATTGTGTAGCTCTGTACGTATGTCTGCTCACATCTCACATCTCATCGTCGTAGCTCGTCTCCGGGCCGCCAAGCCTAAGACTATCGCCCAAGCCGCTCGTTTCCGCAAGCAGGCGGAGGGCCCATTTTCTTGTAAAGTTAATTCGTGAAGAAATACTATAAGCTCTAAGTTATCGAGTACATAACACACTCATCTCATCTCATCTCATATCTCATATCTCATATCTCAGATCTCAGATCTCAGATCTCATCTCACGGTGCGCCACATCTCACGGTGCGCCTCATCTCACGGTGCGCCTCATCTCACGGTGCGCCTCATCTCACGGTGCGCCTCATCTCACGGTGCGCCACATCTCAGATCTTATATCTCGTATCTTATATCCCATCTCACGGTCAGCCACATCTCACGGTTCGCTACGTCTCAAATCTCATATCTCATATCTCACATCTCACGGTGAGCTACCACTCCATCGAAGCCACCGCAATAATACCGTGTACCAAAGTACAATCTCAATAACCAGCCCGAACAAGCCTACACAGGAGTTGAAGTCAAAGCCGTACTCTGTTCTTTCAGTCAGCTACGTCTTGTATCTCATCTCGCATCCTGTCTCGCAGCTAGCTCTCTTCTTTCTGCCTCAGACGCTCGAGACCGAGCAGTGTTCTCGCAAGCGACCTTAGTTCAGTACAAGAAGATCGCAGTCAGTTATATCTTGGAGCTTCTGTTTTACGTCTTGTAGCACCTTTAGCGACATCTTACATCGCATATCTCACGGTTAGCTACGTCTCAGATCTCATATCTCACCCTGCGCCACATCTCACATCTCATATCTCACCTTGCGCTACATCTTACATCTTACCTTCAGGAACATCTTAGGGTTCTATCTTACGGTTAGCTACATCTCACAGTGATATCTCCCGGTGATATCTCAGGGTTAGATCTCACGGTCAGCCACATCTCACGGTTATATCTCATGGTGATATCTCACGGTTATATCTCACGGTCAGCCACATCTCACGGTGATATCTCACGGTTATATCTCACGGTGATATTCCACGGTCAGCCACATCTCACCACCTCAACTCGACTCCAATCCAGGCACGCGACTCCATAGACAATACGCACAACAGTTGTATAGCAGCAAAACACCCGTTTCCGCACATGCCCATATCCTCTTGTGATATGCTACTAAACTGTATCGTACTTAACCAATGCGTTAAATACGACACAGCTTAGTAGCATATCACACGACGACATAAACAAGATACGTATAATTGGTGTATACATTACATTAAAAGGATCTAGGACTCTTAGGTTCGTAATAATACAGTTGACATCCTAGTCTTCCACGTTGCCACCACTCTATATTACCGTCCTCCGATCTAGTTGACCAGCATAAACAGCCCGAGAGCAGGATACGTCATCTGGAACCAATTCATGTCGAGCCCATTGATCGAATCCACCTGGTAACTAACCCGTTGACCAGCTTCGCAGGGAAAGCTAGCGACGTTGTATTGATGAGCAGGCTCGATGAGTTGTACGACACCGACGAGACTTGAATCGCCAACACTCTGCATGGAAACAGTATCGGGAACTTGGTTGGCGAGGCGAGATACGCTGATGCCACCCGGAGTGCGAATTTGAACGGGTGCCGTTTCGGGTATGGGAAAGGGCGGGGGCATGTGTAGAGCCAAAGTGCAAGTCTTGCCGGCGAACTCAGGGCGGATATCGTAAACGAAGACGGTTGATATGGTAGGTGATAGCTGGGCAGTGTATCCGTTGCCAATCACCTTGGTGGGGTCGGCCTTATCAATGGGGATGAGCTGATGGGGGTATTCGAATGGTTCTTGAAGAGGGGTGAAAGTTGGTTGCGGTAGGCCTTCGATGTTCTCAAGACCAATTCCAGTGGACGAAGCGGAAAGCGACGCTGAACTCTGAGCTGTTGGGGTCGGCCGATCAAAGCTAATTACTGGAATGGTGACAATTGTGGGCTGGGATGTCGGAGCATTTACTGAGAAACGTTAGCTTCTGACTGTTTGGTTCAAGGATTCCTCAGCCCTCTTACTCGTCGACCCAATACCCGTTGACATTCCAATACTGCTGCTGCTGCTCAAAGGCTCCTTCCAAAGGCCATTAGTCCGTGCAGCCCCGTACGGGGAAGGAACGGAACAAAGGCAATTGCAAGAAACCGACAAGAGCGCAGACAAGGTATACATGAACGACGACAGAATGGGTGACAAGATGAGCATAGGAAGGTACTAGCTTACCTTGGTGCAAGTACCCGATCCGCTCTGGCAACCGGTACCGCAGTGTCCGGCAGTGTTTCCGCACCATCCGTACTGCGAGCAGCAGTTACCGAATGGCGAGCCAGCGCAGGTAGCACCTCCCTGGGAACCGCAAGTACCATCGGTAGAGACCTTCTTGGATGGGTTGGTGGGTGCAGAACCTGCGGGGCAAGAAAGGTCGAACAAAGGCTTCACCTGCATCAGGTCACCCGCAGGCTTGATGCCGAACGAGGGGACGGGGTTGCCGTACTGGACATCCTGGAGGATGTAGTACCACAGGTTGACGTTGTCCTTGACGAGCTGGCAGGTAACGTCCTCCCAGTAGATGCGGGCATTATCCGCACTGGGCTTACCCTGGTTGAGTGTCTCGCCGCTAACGGGCCATCCGGTCTCGGTAACCCAGACGGGCTTGCCCTTGGCAGCGGCAACAGTCTGGTGGTAGGCGTCGAAGAAGAGCTGGCTGCCCGAACCGACGTTGTTGTTCATGGTGGTCTGGAAGTAGGGGTAGGCGTCCATGCCGATGAAGTCAACGGCCTCAATGACGGGGTTGTTGGTAGCGTTGACATAGACGGTCCAGGTGTCGACGTGACCGATGGGCTTGCCCTGGAGAGGAGTGCCGCGGATGGCATCACGGGTCTGCTTGATGTAGTTGACGAGCTCCTGGGGCTGAGCACCGGCGCCGGACTTGTTCTCGATACCAGTGGGGGTGACACGGTAGAGATCCTCACTGCCAACGGAGATACCCTCAACGAGGTCAGTGAAGGCAGTGCCGTACCGAGCAATGGCGGCCTTGAGAGCAGTAATCTCGTTGTTGAAGTTGGCCTGACCGGCGGAAGCCCACATGCCGAGGAGGAGACCGGTCTTGGTGTTGATGGCAGCCTGGATGGCTTCAATGACGTCGGTCTGGGTGCCGTGCTGGATCATGGTGTACAGACGGGCGCTGGTCCACCCATTGGTGCCAGGAAGCTGCTTGGCGGCGTTGAATTCATATTCAAAGTCGGCCTGCACCTTGGCCTGGTTGTTGTTGAAGTTGGCGCCGTAGTTGAAGCCCTTGATGGCAGCGTTGGCCGAGGTCAAGAGGCCTGCAGCGGCGAGGATGGTGGAGGAGACGCGCATGGTGGTAGTATTAGGAAGAAGACGATATTAAAAGCGTAGAATGAAGTCTTGAGAAGTGAGAAGGGTGCGAGAGAGCGGCGTGGGCGAGGAATGGTGAGCAGGACGCAGCGAAGTATTTATTCGCCGGTGACGTTTTGCTGGATCTAGACGTCGCTGCCGTCTGAAGGCTATTCATCGGACGTGCATTAGCCGCACGGTCACAGCTAATTAGTGCCTTCTCGAACGAGCAGGCACGCAGGAACGCGGATGCCGGCGGTGATCCCAACCCTGAAGCCTGGTCAAGCAATCTTGGCATGCAGGCTCTTCAACAACAGCCTGTTCAAACCATTCCCAACATTCGCATCCTTCGTTCGTTGCTGCTTTCATCGCTGTTGTCGACTGTTGAAGCTTTCCAAGCATTCTAGAAGGCCCGATGCGGCAAGACAGGGAACGACCCTTTCGCCCCGTCCTCGCTAATCATTGGCCCATGTGGAGAAGCAATACTCAACGGCCAGACAGCGACGTCAAGCCCCGGTATAGGGTCGTATCCGGATAAAAATAACCCAGCATCGACATCATCCCCGCCGCGGGAGATGAGCTGCACATCTCATGATGAGCGTGCAACATGGCACACGCGGATTTATCGAAAATCGTCGACACATGTGTGGCTGATCAGGTCAATAGTTTGCCCATTAACACGAGTGCGACATCCTCACGCGTGTGTATGGTAGACACATGTCCCCGTGTCATCCGTTGGCGTTGCGCACTACCGTGGTTATGAGCTCGTTGTTGACAGCACCGGATGCACCATCCATCATGGTCGCAGGCCGAGATTCCAGGTTGTGGTGACGTGGATAGCGCTGCTGGTCCGAACTCAGGAGAAACGGTGCCGACGCCAGGCACTTTCGATCCGAGCTATGACGCGCATCATCGGCTTTCGATCCGCGGATGCGGGAGGCAAGAATTTGAAGTTCAGGCAAAGAAGCGAAGTTGATGTTGGAAAGGTAGAGGATGTGGAGAATTACTCCAGCGGTTTGGTGTCTTGGGGACCGTTTCGACCCGGCGCTACATGCGCCAATGCTACGATTGGAACGCTAAGCTTTACCCCTACCACAGCTTCGATATGTCGATGGAAGCTTGGTTATTCGATTAGGCACTCGGAGCACTTTGCGACATCGACGAGTCTGGAAGATAACGGGTGGACATCGTGGCTGTGAGGTCGCTTGCAGACATTCCCGTGTTCTATCGGGATTCTAGCCACGCGCACGGTACCCAACGAGAAGCTCCCCGAAATTATGGACGATGTGTCCGGGATGAGCAGATGCCTGCGTTGACGTTGAGCTGGGTATCTGCAAAGCCACTTGACTTTACCTGGCCGTGCGACTGGTACTGAGACACCTCATTATCTTACCCTCAGGCGTGTATGGCCAAGATTACTCCGTCAAAGTTGACAGCCTGAGTTCGGTGAGACTGGACTGCGATACAGGTGGTTCTATCAGATGTATCGCGACGACTACATCAACTACAGCTCTAAAGTTCAGCAGCATCTAAGTACCACAATTGTAGCACTCCATGAGTATTACCAGAAACGTGCGCAGAACGCGGTAGCGAATTGATTGTTTGAATGCGAGGAAAACGCTTCCGGAGATACAACCCTTTCGTAACGATACCTCAGACGCAATATTGCTTCGTGATAGGAACAGATGAACTACTTTTTCAGTAGTCACTTGAAGTTGGTGGCAGACGATGTCGCCACAGAAGGCAGTCGATGGATGCGATTGCAAAGCTCCACCATCGCTTCTTATGTGTCCGCTTTCTGAGATCTACCCAACATTGTGACAGTAGACTTGGATGTATCTGCTAGTTGTGTTAAGAGAGTGAGAAAGTTGAACGCGGAGTTGAGTATCAGATGGAAGTCTTGGCATCCCGCCCTAGCGCGATGTCGCGCGGCTCATGTTGCCTGCCTGAAGCTCTAGCTAGAGAAACATCCAAGTCGCCAACACAACTCCGCAACACCTCACCACCGCCCGTACGCCCCCGATCTCGACTTCACTGTTCGAGACCCACCTGGATATCTTACCACAAACCTTCATCACTTCCCCGCACAAACAGCCGCCATGGTACGCCTCATTGAACCCCGCTGGAGCTCTTGTACTAACATGAGCAGTTCATAGCACGAAGCGAATATGGTAAGCTCTCTAAAACAATTATACAGCAGAATCTATACTAACTAAACCTCTAGACCGTGGTATCAAGTCCGTCCACCCCGCGCCTCCCACTATAAGCCCGCCCGCTCACAAATCCACAGCACCTTCTCGCCCGAAGGCCGTCTCTTCCAAGTAGAGTACTCGCTCGAAGCCATCAAGCTCGGCTCAACAGCAATAGGCGTACGTCCATAACTTCTGCCATCCCTACTTCCAAGCAAATCCCAAACTCACACCCCACAGGTCGCAACAGGCGAAGGCGTAATCCTCGGCGTAGAGAAGCGCGTCACCTCCACGCTCCTCGAGACCAGCTCCGTAGAGAAGATTGTCGAAATCGACCGCCACATCGGATGTGCCATGTCGGGACTGCAAGCCGATGCCCGCAGCATGATCGAGCACGCGCGTGTCGAGAGCCAGAACCACGCTTTCAACTACGCCGAGCCACTTCGCGTTGAGAGCTGCACGCAGGCGATATGTGATTTGGCGCTGAGGTTTGGTGAGGGTGCTGAGGGCGAGGAGAGCATCATGAGTCGGCCGTTTGGTGTCGCGCTGCTGATTGCGGGTTATGATGAGGATGGTCCGAGTCTGTATGTCACTTCTTCCCATCTTCCTATCATGTCTTCTCCTACAACATCCCCCGCTCTAGCTCTAGGATTGGGATTCCAAACTAACAACACTCCCAGCTACCACGCCGAACCCTCGGGCACATTCTACCGCTACGACGCCAAAGCCATCGGCTCCGGCTCCGAGGGCGCGCAGGCCGAACTCCAGAACGAATTCCACAAGTCGCTCACGCTCCCCGAGGCCGAGGTGCTCACGCTCAAGACGCTCAAGCAGGTCATGGAGGAGAAGCTGGATAGCAAGAATGTGCAGTTGGCTAGTGTGACCAAGGACAAGGGCTTCAGGATCTACACTGACGAGGAGATGGCTGAGGTTGTTGGAAGGCTGCCGACGAACTAAGCTTTGCTGGGGGATTGAGAGGGTAGCTGGGGAAAGTGGTAGATGGAATGGCATATGATAGCATCTTGATAGATGTGCGAGTCACGCGAAAATGAAGCAATGACCAAATATCTTGAAGCTCTGAATGGCCAATTATCATACGGCATCAACGAGCTTGTGGTGATGTCTGGCAATTGAGCAGATCGTGGATCAAGACACGGTAAAGCACGTATCAAGCCATCAACAAATTCACGCCATAAGTACGCCACATCATCACAACAGTCACCCCAAGCACTGTAATAACAAAGACAAAAGCGGTCTATTTCCCTGTCTGCAATGCCAATTGTCCCCATATTATACATCCTCCCAACCGATCTCGTAAACGGGAGCTCGCTCAGAAAGGGTTATCCTCAGGCGGTATCTCGACCGTGAAGAACTTGTCCAGGATGGGAATCTTCTTCATGATGTCGTCGCGCACCTTGGGGACTTCGGCGAAGAAGAAGAGGGCGAAGAAGCCGGCTACACCGCCGAAGCCGGCGGCGAGGCCACCGCTGTGGGGGTGTTAGTTTGTGTTGGATGGGTGGATGGGTGGATGGATGGATGTATGGAGAGGTGGAGGGAGGTATGGGAGGAATGGGGGGAGACGTACTATTTCGCGGCTTGCTTAAGGGTGAGGCCGTGGTAGTTCTTCGGGATGGTGTATCTGTGGTTGTATGTTAGTGTCTGGAGCTTCGAGGTTGCGATGGGCGTGGATCGTGTGGCCGGTGGCGCGGGTGTGAATTGGGTTGTTCCTCCTCTTTTCCGTGCGTGTTTCGGTCGTAGGTATGGTGTCCAATGGCCTATACCGCCGCCTATCGAGGCGTCGCAACCGATCCTCCTCTTCCCACACCTCCCCAACACCTCCCCAACCCAGTCCCAACCCTCCCACCGCCCCTCCCACAGCCTCGTCGATATCGGAAAATACATACTGAGGACCAAAAGGACTCCTGTAAGCCTTGTACGGGCTGCGCATGCTCTGTTCCCACACATTAGCTTCTTCCTTCTTCTTTCGTCATCGCCTCCAATTCCCCATTGCACCGGGTACAACTTACGACAGCAGCGGGCGTCTTGCCGTGGTGGCCGAAGGATGAAACAGACATCTTTGGCGAGTTCGTTGGGGGTTTAAACGCGGGTGGGAGGGTGAAGTCTGGCGTGATGTCTGGTGAGGTTGTTGCGGCAGAGAAAGCGCGGGAATGCTGGGCTTGGCGGCGCTGGGAAAAGGTGGACGAATCAGGAGCTGCGGGATTTTGCGGGTGGGTGCGTCAGCAGGGTTGGGGAGGAGGACAATACCAACATCTCTCCACGCTTTGAGACACACAATCATTTGTTCCTCTTGGTTGATATAATGCCTATCTGATGGCGAGTGGTCTGCGCGGTACTACTGCGAAACGCTCTTGTATCGCGAGACACTCACTGGCGGGTGAAAGAAGAAGTCGAAGGCTTTCTTTGTCGCAGTATTTCTCATCCACCCATCTTATTAACATCTCTAGAAATTGACCGTAAGGGTATACAAGCTTCATGAATATCCTGCTTGTGTCCAATATTTCACGACCATTCTATCAGCGCCATTGCTTGCTCATTTGCAATGTCGCTTTCTCACTTTATTAGGCCCTGAGCTCCTTCAAACATCGACTTCGATAGCGGACATATGTAGAGAGCTACACCTCGAACTGAAAACCGAAGCAAGCCAATTCACTACCTCTGGTGAATGGGTAAGGCTTGGCATCACGTCAACACCCAGCAAGAGCATCTGCCTTGGCCGTTGGGTGGATTATATTGCTACGGAGCTTTCGCATTCTCTACACTTTCTACAACTCTTCTTATCCCACTTTATTCGCCCTCAATCAACCAACAAGTGCCTCAACCGTGGACAGATTAGGTAGTCTTACTGTTCCGCCTTCCCACCAACACATTTTCGCCAACACCATGGCGACACAGAACGGCGATGAGAGCGATTCGTATGACGAATGTGAAGTGCAGCTAGAACGGTTCCCTCGGGCGTCCGAATGGTCGCACACACCCGCTACACGGACCTTCCACCCCTTCTCCCGCCTGCCTGCAGAACTCCGCGCCACAGTATGGGCTATCGCGGTACACGACCAGCTAGAAGACCTCGGCATCGCCCACATCGACCTCGAAAATCAAGTCAACATCCATGAGGAGAAAGGAAAGATTATCGCATATACGTTCCGTGGCTACCCTTCGCTCTTCTTCGTCAACCGCGAAGCCCGCTACGAAGCTGCAAAGGTCGATGGAGGCGCGTGGTACCCACTGATGGCTGGTGTAGAGATTTATGCAAATCTCGACAAGGAAGAAGTCTTCGTCTTCGATTGTTATAAAGGTCCAGGTCTAGAGCTCGCGATTCGTCGGTTTAATGGAGGGAACAAATTGGGCTGCAATGGCAGGGGCGTTCATCCTTTAATGCATGTCCATGCCTGAGTACAACACCATGTTGTGGGAGAAAGGCAAGGAACAGGAGATATAGCAAAAGGACTCGGATGGTTAATCGGTACGAATAGGTCAGCCCAGTCGTGTCTCGATCGCGCGCGGGAGGACTTGTTACAGCCAGAGTGAAAATATCCATCAACGCGGCCGATATGGTCGAGTATTTCTCGAGCTTGCTGTTCGAATGAGATACCGGTGTTGGAGACGGCGGTGGAATCCTGGGAAAGCATGTAACAAATCGACAATGACCAGATATCTCATGATCAGGCAGCGTAATGGAAGCGTCTCCATCACTCCACGACCATACTCATGGATGCATTTCTGGTGTTCTTTCAAAGCCTTCCAAATTGTTTTTCTCTATTGCTCGCCCCCATTGTCGTTCTTCCAGGTCCCAGCGTAGTGATGCGTAACCAGCTTCGGCGGCAAAAGCTCTTCTTCTTCCTCTTTATACGTATTCGCAGACGCCGCAAACGACCGGCCCGGCATGACCAAGACATCGCCCACCAGCTTCGGCTGCACAAGCTCCATCATATCGCGCGCGTCAATCTCCCTATCAAGTATCTTCCCCAAGCTCGTATACACACTGCGCGTCAAGCGCCGGGGACCCGTAAAATCAACAACATCCCCCATGATATCCATTGTCGCGTTTTGGATCGAAATGTTATGCTCCGCCGTCTTGTCTCGCAGTGTCTGAAGGATATCGTCGATGACCTGCATCATGTGCGGCGATCGCGGTTTGGCCATTATCGTCCAGCTGGCGAATTCGCGGACATATTCGCCGGGCCAGCCTTGATCGAACTCCCAGCCTACGACTAGTGAAGCGATTCCTTGGTATGCGGCTGGTACCCATTCGTCCATGGATACGCCTTCTTCGCACGAGACGTCTAGGTCGGACCAGATTCCGCCTTCGTTCCACAGCAAGACATAGCGCAGCATGTCGGCTTTGTAGATAGGGACGGGTAACGCGAGGTAGGCGTCGACGATATCCGGTCGGGACTCCGCAAAGGTCTTACGAACGTACTCATCGCCGTCGTCGTCCGTCAAGAAGTGTGCTTGGTAGTCAGGATTGCTATTGACACAGCTATCGGTCCAAGCTCGCGTCTCATCAGAAAGGCCATTAGGCCCCAACTTGTACCAAATGCGTTTAGGAAACCCGCCGTTTTGGGGTGGCTGCGCTATCGCGGGCGTACCCGGCGCACGGACAGTGAAGTGGTCCTGTATGGAGAGAAAGTGGTAAACCAACGCTAATGTGCATAGCGCGATCAGTGTGTAATGATTGAAGACTTTGGGTAGCGACAGTGACATGGTGGGAAAAGCCAACAAAAGGGGAAGGACAAAGAGGAGGGCACGAGATCGCAAAGCGCCACGGAGGGGCGATCCTTATACAAATGGTGGGCGAACGCCGCAGTGAGACCGGTACCTGCAGCTCACAGACTTTTAGGGGCGGTTACACTTCTAATTATTCACGGAGCGCTGGGTGTGGCGCTGAACTTTCTGTTATCACATCTCGCTTGATGTGGCACGGTAGCGCTGATACATGGGTCTGTTGGGGTTGATGATCTAAGATCACGGCTAATGTTGGGGACCCTTTCAGCTGTTGGACCCCCGTGCGAACATATCTCGGCTTCGGAACACGTTCACTTGTACTTCTCGTATTCATACTCCAGTGTTTTATGGCTTGCTTCAGTTATCATGGCGGCTGCATCAAGTCGACCCTGGGCTGACACCCAAAACCGATGAGTACAAAGAAGTTTCAGCACGAGGGGCGCATCGTGGCAAGGCGCTGTTGCACCCTACGCCTCTCGCTGCTGGAACAAGAGGAATGAGAGCAGTGGAGTCTGAGCCATGTTACTACATGCGATTGCTTCGCACAGTTGCCAGCTCCTGATCTCGTCCAGCGTGTGTTTCTTGTCACTCGCTGTTTACCATCCCTCGTTCCACTCAAGTACTGCTACGGAATCATCAATCTCGCAATCATCTAATCATTGGCATCGATCCAGTTCGATATGACTTGTCTAAAAGCATATGCTTTGCTAGCCATACTATCCCCCCGCGTCTCCAGTCTCGGCATCCAATTCATCAACCCCCCAACCCACGGCACAGACGGCGGCCTCAGCAACCCGCCCACCTACAAGCAAGACTACACCATAAACATCCAATGGTATCCCGGCGACGAAACAGGGCCCTACGACCTAGTCTTGCACCAAGTCAAAACACTCGGCCAAGACCAGACCGGCGACGGCGAGTTCATCATGCGTAAGTTCATCATGCTTAGAGGAAAGACGCTCCGTTCCGTGACTTCCAAGCTTATTCACAGAAGCAAAGCTAACCTGTAAAAACCAGCAAGTATCGTGAATAGAACGAGTTACCTGTGGCAAGTCAAGACAAATGCGAGGCTGGAGGAGTCGACGCTGTTCTTTCTTAGTGTTTTTTCGGTGGCTGGGGATTCGGATACTAGTCAGTATTTTAATATTGTGGATGGGTTTATCGCGGGGAGTGGTGTTTCGTCTTCGGCGGTGGGTTCTCCTACTTCGTCGACGCGGTCGTTTTGGTCACCAGAAGGATTGTCAACTGTAGCTTCAGCATCGGCTTCGACGTCGGCCTCAAGAGTCTCCGGCACGTCAGGTACGGAATCGGGTACAGGTTCGGCGAGCACACCGACCAGCGATACCGCGAACGCTCCGACAAGCACCATCGCAGATCCATCGAACCCTCACGACCAAAATGTCCACCAGCACATGCACAACGACTTCCAACTCGGCCACAAAATCGGTCTCGGCATAGCTATACCCGCCACGCTCGCCCTCGGGATAGCAGCAGGCTGGCTACTCTTTCGCCGCCATCAAAGAAAGAGAAGAAGAGTGTCACACCAATTACCAGCTACCGAAATTGAACAGTACGAGCCCGATAGAGATGGTCAGAATCCTAGCGAAGACGTCTACGAAGCGCCATCGAATCATGTACTGGAGATGGGTCAGCCGCATAGGAAGGGATTTGAGCAGTTGGGAAGTGAATTGGAAGATAAGCCTGCGGTTGTGCCTGGGGTGTTGCCTTTGAGGTACGAGATGGAAGCAAACACTGTGCATGAGCTTCATGATCAGTCGGTTAAAGCAGAGGGACCTGTGGTCAAGACGGAGGATTAATGCAGCGGCGTCACTTGTAGATATTCATGTAGGAGAATGTGGACGTGATCTTGAATGTTGCAATAGATTTATTACCAAACCAACCATAAACGTATACATAACCCAACATACATGAGGAGCTCTTCCCATGCAAAAACGCCCAAACACCTATCTACCCATCCACATCCATCAACCACCCCACTCCTACGTACCAATAGCCTGAGGGTTCCAGAACACGCTCTTCGGATCGACCTTCTGCTTCAACGCCGCCAACCTATCATACACCGCATCGCCATAATAAAGCTTATGCGCCGTCGCAGCATCATAACTAGGATCAACATAGTTCAAATACGCGCCAAACGACGTCTGCGGCTGCGCATCGATAATAGCACTATTAATGCCATTGATAAACTCCATGGAATCACCTCCGTACCCATAGTTCTGCAGCACCCACAGACTATCCCTGTCGCTGTAGGCAGCGAACTCAGTGTCTTTGCTGTTAATAGCGGAGCCAGGGCCGCCGTAGAGGTTGATGATGATGTAGTATTCTGTTCCGTCGGCTGTTTGGAGGTAATCGTACAGCGCGTCCAGAGCGTTGGAAGTAAGGCCCGTAGATTCAGGGACGGTGACGGACTTGGCGAAGAAGTCCTCGTGCTCGTCATACCCGGTTAGAGGCTCTTTGATGCTGGTCTTGCCGGATACCTTGACCATGTAGTCGTACCAGGCCATGGACTGGACGGTGGCGCTGGGGTTGGGGAGACTGCGGAGCAGCTCGGGCTTGACTTGTGCGTTGAATTCCGAGACGCTGCCGAAGAAGGCGCCGCTGAGGCTGTAGCCGCCGTAGTTGTCGAGGTAGATGCCGAAGGAGACGCGGTTGTCGACTACGGACGCGTTCTTGGCGACGTCCTGGATGTGCATGAAGGTGTTTGTCCACACGCTCTTGGAGTCGTGGATGCCGGTGAAGCCGAACTCGAAGTACGTGATGCTGGCGGGTGCGGCGTGGGTCTGGAGGTAGAACTTTGTGACGACGCCGAAGGACTCGGCTGCGCCCTTGATGGCCCAGAAGATGTCGGGGGACTCTGTGGATGAGGCCTTGATGAGAGATCCATCGGCGAGGACGACGTCCGCTCCGACAACTTGATCCATGGCTAATCCCCAGTGGCGGGAAGTGTGGCCGTAGCCGCCGTGTGTGTAGTGACCTCCGATACCGACACCGGGGCAGGTACCCTGGGCTACGGCAGCATTGCCTTGAGTGTAGATACCGTCACCTAGGTTGCCCAGACGAACACCTCCTCCGACTGTTGCAATTCCAGAGTCCTTGTCGAGTTGAATGGTCTGGAAAGACTGGAGGTTGATCTGCATAGCGCCGTCCTTGCCACCCGAGCTGAAGCTTGCGTAAGAGTGACCGCCGGACTTGGCCTGAACCTTGAGACCAGCTTGAGCAGCGCACACTACGGCATCTTGAACGTGCTGGTTGGTGGTGGGAAGAACAATGACGGCTGGCTTGAAAGGTACGCGCAGGTTGTAGGGCTCGGAAAGCTCAGAGTACTCGGCATCCGAGGTCATCTTGTACGGCACATCCTTTCCGTTCAAGCATTGGAGAGCAGATCCAGATGGTGTTGACGATGGTGCCGCTGAGGAAGTCTTGCTGGTGGAAGATCCTGATCCGGTATTGCTACCACAGTTACCGAAGCCTGCCTGGCATCCAGTTCCACACTGTAAAAATCAGTATATATTCATTCAAAGCGTAGGTGAGTACTCACGTATGCCGATGTCGAACCGCACCATCCACTCGCGCTGCAGCAGTTGCCTTCAGCAAAACCCAGACATGTGTAACCCTTTGTGCCACCACATGTCGCATCTGGTGAGACCTTCTTAGTCGGTGTCGAAGCCGGCGGCGGGGCCTGTGTCGACGAAGTCTTGACCGTGACTGGAGTTGCTTTTGACGTAGTGCTACCAGTGCATGTGCCGAATGCTGAGTTGCAGGTAGCTCCGCAATGATCCGCGGATTTTCCGCACCATCCATACTGTGAGCAGCAGTCGCCGTACGGAGAACCCTTGCAAGTGAAGCCCTTTGCTCCTCCGCAGCTTCCGTCGGTGGAAACAGCCCTCTTGTTCAGCGGCGCGGCTGGCGAGGCGGATGCCACACCAATAGACAGCAGACCTGCCGTAAGAGAAACGAGGAACTTCATCGCGACGTTGAGGATAGTAATCCGAGTTCAGTCGACGAAGTCAACCAGAGAACAGCGTTGTATACCCCAAACCACCGTCGAAGAAGGACCAAACGAACGGACCGACAAGGTAAGCTTACCCCAATAAACGAGCGTGGGAAAAGCAAAGACCAAGACCAAGACCAAGGCCTGTAGAGTAAGTAAAGTGAGGCCTATACACAAGGGCAAATCACCCTCTTAAGACCACAACCAATACGAGAACATTTGCCTCCTTCGCTGCACATCCTCCCGTACCTGCAGCAGCCGCACGGCCTTGACACCACTAACACGACCTCGCACCGCTCCACTCAACACGAACGAAAACTCATTCTACGCTCTAAGATCCACTCGACAGCGTATCCTGGTGTCGATCTTGGGACAATGTGTGCCCGGTCGGTCCTAATACGAGCTTACTACGCAGAGGCCTAAACGGCAACACGGCGGGCGCTCGTGACGAAAAGCAATTTCGCCGCTCAACGGGTCCTCGGATTTCGTACGAGAGCCGTGTGCGGCGTAGGGTTGCATTGCGAAAACCTGTGACAATGGGAAACCTAATCGAGTGCGCAGTAAAGAACAAGACGGTCGCCTCGGTCGCGTTGGAAGGGGTATCCCATCTCCAAAACTTCCGGTCAGACCGCATAAGGAAATGACGTCTGTGTGCCCCGTCACCCTCGCCCATCTCCACCGCTCGCATCTCCATCCCTCGCCCCCAAAACACATACTAATCCACCAACACTTACCATCGTATTTCCGGCAACACCTTGCGATCAGGCCTTCCAAGGCATGACTTTACGGTTATTGCGGTGGGGTACGCAGTAAGCTCTTTGTGGGTTGCCGTTGCGGCCCTAACGGCTGGAAGCGACGCTGGGCGGCCCTGCGGCATGCTATTTTTGGCAGTAAGAGATCTGAGTAAGGGAGATGCGGCATGCGAGGAATACGGGATGCTGCATGGCTTTGACAACATTGCGATGGGGTGGAAGGGGCTTGGCGATGCGGTTTGGGGGTGGGTATGGGTTTCTACATACGTAGATGAGAGTGATGTTGGGTTTGGCTTTGGTATTAGAGAGTGGGCCTTGGGTGAGGGGATTGTGCATGCTGTAGCAGATGGCAAGACGATGACAGGCTCGCTGATTTGAAGTGTCTGGACTTGTCAGATAGGGACGCAATTGAGTTTCAACAGCCTCCATTTGTCGATATGCCTTTCACCAAGAGTGCAGACGGAACGGACAAAATAATCGTCGCAACAGCCGTCTTACACGCTTCCCCAGACTGGCCCGCGCACCGACACAACCTCGCCGTCTCATCTGGTCTGTCCCTCTTCAAAACCTCCGTAGAGTACCCTCCGCAGAGGAAGGAGCAGACGAGAGATTGATATTGCAGAATTGAAAGCGATGTAGTGGGAATAACAGCGGTGGCGGTGGCGGGCGATGTCGAGCTGGTGAGGTATTGTTTGGGGGAGCTGAGGCATGTGGCTGATGATGGAAGGTAGCTTGGCTTCCCGATTCTGGATCTGATAGAGAGGGGAGCTTGTAGAGTGCCGGAGAAGAATGAGGAGGTGGTTGAGTTGTTGAAGGCGCATGGGACAGCGGCGAAGGGGACGTTTGACAAGGTGAAAAGAAAGGCGAAGGATATGGAGAAGGAAGAGAAGGTGAGATTGTGGAGTCAGATTGCGAGGTTGTTCACGCGCAAGACGAGGACTAAACAGGAGAAGAGTCAGGAGAGGAGTCTCATTGCCGCGCAAAGTCATGACTATCTCGCTCCTTCAAAGGAGAAGAAATCCATGCATCCCCGTGTATACTACTAGAACCACCACATATCCAGCACTACCTAAACCCTCGCCCCGTCACAACAGAGCCCACATCATTCTCAGCATCCCACCCATTCAGAAACTTCGTTGTCGTCCACATATACCGCTGGTGCGCCATTTCCGCCCCGGTCTCTGTCGTCATCCGCTCGACGTACTGCCCGCCGTGCATATGCCGCAGACAACTGACATCAAAACCAACCCCAGGCTCCCTGTATCCTTCATCCATACCATGGAAATAGAAATATCGAGCCACGCCCACAGCGCCCAGTCGTTGGAGATGATATGCATCACGTAAGACGCGGTGGATGGGCTGCTCGTGAGAGAAGTTGGTGACGGTGAACCGTTGCTCATCAAATTGAATAACACCCGAGAGGCGGGCAGCGAGACAAGACGCCTGCCAGATGATATTGGGCGGGCATCCCGCTGCCCTCGTGAACTCGCGTACGACTTGCCATTGATTCCGCTTCTCGTCTGAGGAGAGATACCATGCGTCACTCATATCGTGGGTGATGTCGTGGGTCATGCATAATACCCACAGAAGTGTGGAATCAATGTCCCGAGCCCATTGATGCGTCCTCCGTTCTTTCCGCAGAATCCACTCGGCGTCGGCGACGACACGTAGGGTGTGTTGGTAGTCGTGCAAAACGAGACGCGGGGTGCAGTCGGGATGTGACAGGTAGACCCTGTTCCTCTGGGTACGGACGGCGACGTTGAGGGCCGTGAACCATGCGAAGTCTGCGTCTTTGATTTCGAGGCACTTCGCGCTGAAGAACGGAAGTGGCTTGCGGAACGGAAGTGTCTTGGTGAACGGGTTGAAAGCGAAACCACCAAGTGCTTTGTTGGATGTACTGAAGTTGCGATACCGATGGCCTCCACCGTGGGCGCCGATGTTGAGATTCGCGCCAGGCCTTGTCATAAAGCCATTGGAAGTGCTTGAGAGCTTTCGGGTCGTTGTGATACCGGCGAAGCGGCGGGACGCAACATTGCTGAGCAACCTCATGTTGAGATTGGAACTGAAGAAGCTGGTGTAGAATAGCAGGGTTTATCGAGACAGGTGATTACATACGACAGCGAGGAAGTCGCGCTCAAGGCAACCTTGGAAAGGCGTGATCGAAACAGCGTACCTAGGTAGAGGCCTTGCGCTAGTCCATTCGCAGTTCCAGTCAGATTGCGAGTGAAGACCATATCAGAGTGACGCTGCGTTCACCTGTCCCCGTTTCTTCCACTGCCTTCCGGTTGCAAGTGTCGCCGTCCCCAAGCCTTACAACTTTTACATGTATCGTCGCCATATCTCCAGGGCTCGGCGTCTCCTCGCGGGGAACACGCTTGGCGGCTTTGCTTCTCCGTGCCGATATACCTTTCATCGTCGATGCTCGTAGCACCGTGCTGCGCAGTTTGGGATTTGTATCGTAGCCGTGGATCAAGAATATCATCAACCACCAACCGTCTTACTCTTATCAGCACCCTCAACCTTGTCCTCTACTTCTTCCCCCTGTTCAATCCCATCCACTACCTCCCCACTCTCCCCTTCCTCACCACCCCCATCCTTCTCCCCCGCGAGCGCCCTATACTTCCTCCTAGCCTTCTTCCCACTACTCGCCTTCTTCTTCGCCTTCTCCCTCGCCTTAACCCTCGTCCGCGCCCCCTCCCCCAACTCCATCTCCTCAATTCTTTCCTGCAGAATCCGCCTCGCCATCTTTCGATTTATCTCTCTTGACCGCGTATCCTGGTACTTGACTACGATACCAGTGGGAATGTGTTTGAGCTGAACGGCGGAGGAGGTTTTGTTGATCTTTTGCCCACCCGGGCCGGAGCCTTTGAGGAAGTTCTCGATTAGATCCGCGTCGAGGAGGGGGGTGCGGGGCGGGAGGGATTTGCCATTGTTGAGGGATGGAGAGGTGGAGAGGTGCGCGGTGCGGATAAGTGGGACATTGGGGCGGAAGCGGAGGGCGGGGAGGAGGCGCATTGTTGGGTGTGTGTTAGGGAGGGATACTGCATGGCGGAGGCATTGCAACAGCATTGGCATCGCTGGTCCAGTGTAGAAACTTCTCGCACTCGTGGTCGTCGATGATGCCATGCAGCTCACGCGCTAGACCACCCGCTCCCGATCTTAATCAGGCAATCGCACCATCCCTGCTCCGAATCCGCCGTCCCTGAACCCTTCATCTCCCCCGTCATCCACCGCTCCCAACATTTGCGCCCAGACACATTAACCCTCCAATTCCACCTTCATATACACCTTTTGCACGCGCAAACACGACGACACATACCGAAAGGTTCTATGATTGACACGACGACGCTATCCGCCATCCTCCTCCTAGCCAGCGCATCCACGCTCCTCGTCGCCGCAATGCTGTACCCATCCGCCCTCCTCCGCTGGTTCCAGCGCAAGCGCTATCAATATGAAGTCACATTCTCGCTGTACATGTTGACGTCGACCGAGAAGTTTATCTTCAGTACGTCATAAATATCCTGTTTTACCGCATCAAATCGCATCCTCAACTCGGTTCTTGGAGATGAGCCACCGCCCCTATCCACGTCGCTCTCCTCCCACACCGACCTTTGGTACTACTTTAGGACAGTTGCTAACGATGTGGTTTTTGCAGACTCCGTACTCTTCCTCCTCCTCTCCCTCCTCATAATCGCCGCGTCGCTGTACCTACCCGAACACCTCACCATCATCGCGAACCGCATGTTCTACTACCTATCTGGAAACCACGATTCGCTTTCGAGTAACTCAGTACCTAAAACCGGGGGTATCGATACAGGGATTACGCCGAATGGGCCGCTGGGTGCGGGTGCGGGTGCTATGAACAATGGGCGGGGGATGATGGAGTTATAGGGATACGCACGAAGTGGATTAGAAAGGATGGGCTGGGGATGATGGGGTCTGGTGAGGGGCGTCGAAGCTCTGCTTTGACTGGATGCACTGGGAACATGGTCGCCTGTTGGAGGGCATGAAGGCTTCGGCTTGTTGCGCCCCGACGGAGTTAGGCTTCTACCGCCTACCCTGAGACCACAGTACGGACTCCAGACACACAACAGTCCCAAACACATGCATAAGGCAAGGCGCAGGAAGGAGTTCCATTCACCAATTCAGGCATACCTACATACCTATTCCCAAACGACTATAGACGTACGATAACCACAGTAATGTTAATACCAAATCACCACCTCATTCCACCTCAGTCCCTCTACGCCCCGCAGACGCATCGCATGTACCCCGACTAATTCCCTCAAGAGCATGCACATAGCACGTCACATCCAGCAAACAACATCTCGACCCTAGCCAACACCTCACGTGAACGTCGCAGCATGCGCTGTGACATACTTCGTATATGCATCATGCATGCCCGCCAGCATCTGTCACATTCCAACTGCATGATACATGGGCGGCTATGCTCGACGCCGAGATCGGACGACTTGTCTGTACATGTACGCACGCTCTGCGATGCGATGTGACGTGACGTGACGTGGCTCAAGTACCGCTGTGTTAGACTCCCGACACTTTGGAATTGAGTTAGTCATGAAGAGTCATACACAGAATCCAGGCCTCTATCCCCTATTAGAGCACCACCAAGGCTCATGATCCATACCCATTTCCATATCCGAAACCAACCCCTCAGCCCCCAGCGACTCCAACCAAGCATTCATACACTCCCTCAACTTAATCTTCATCTCCGCTTCATCGCCCACACCAGCCGACCTCGGCGGTGTATCCTCCAGGCCATCATCAGCTCGATTGAGGAATGCAGGCCAAAAGTATTTGTTCGCCCCCGCAACAGCACGATATAGTGTTCTGACCTGGTCTTCCACCGTTTGGATAAGCGGTATCCATTCTTCTTTCTCGCGGCTGCCGATGATGGAGAGGATGATGGTGCTTTTGCTATCTTTCACCTCGGTGGAGGTTTTACCGTGTTTTAGGAATTTCATCTCGTAGACCATGCGGAGTTTGACTAGTAAGATGGCGAGGAGGAACGTGAACGACTCGGATGCAGGAGCCGTGGACCCGGGTTCCCTAATCCGCTCAAAGATTCCAGCCGATTCGAACGCGTCTTCGCCGGTAAGAGGTAGATGTTCAGATGTCCAGTCGTGTTCTTCGTCGTTCCCTCTTGTGACCCACCATTTGCAGAAGTCGTAACAGTCTTGGTCGCGTTTTAGGCGGAGGAGCAGCCAGGGTATGAGGCAACGCATTTGTAGATAATCTGCAGAATCCAATCGTAAAAGGGCAAAGGCTTCGTCTAATGCTTGCTGAACCGCTGCTGTAGTATTGACACTATAAAGCTCATACAGCAGATCCCTCCTCCGGTACATATACTCCCTCGTCGCTTCATACTCCCAAAACCTGCCACCCGCAGTCCCAAACGGGTCTTTAGGCGTACCCGCCTCTCCCGAATCACGTTTCAGCGCAATCTCAGAATCAGCGATGAGGCCGTGAAGTTGTTGGATTCTGTCGCACAATGTCTGGTGGCTTGCCTTGTCGAGGGCTTGATGATCGGAGCTGCAGTAAAACATAGCATTGCAGTCGCTGCATAGGATGAGATTCTCCTTTTTGAAACAGTTTCTGCATCGTCCCATGAGACCGTAGGATTTGTTGTAGGGCAATGGCGCATAGTGTTCGATTACGTGATGCGTACGCGGCGGCGCGGGATCGGGGTTGGACGCTTTGCGTTTGCGTGGTTTTGGAGATGCGTTGTGTTCGTCCATTTGGGCTCGTTCTCAAAGGTGATGAAACCAAGTATCGCGAGTGTTGAAGTGCTGATGCGGATGAGATGCGTTGAAATGAAAGACGGTGAGGGTAGCTAGGTGATGTTGCTAAAATAATAGCGGTCGATCGAGAAAAACGAAGTCGCATGCGCGACAACAATTGGCCGAAGTAAGCAGAACCACGATTACAAGAGGTTCAGGATATGCTTGGGGTATGTTCAAAATTTTGTTGGCGCTACGCGTGTCGTGGTGTTCCGAGTTTGGACATTGAGGCTCCATGAACATCAGACCGAGCACTAGGCTAATACTTACAACCCTTTTGACCTCTTGGGTCTATATGATTGGTGTATATTAGGCTGTACCCTTCAAGTTAATCACAGTAGCGAACATCAAATCCCTGATCCCACCCAAGCCCCTCTCAGTCAGCCACTGCAGCACCATGACCTTATACCCATCCGCGCCCTCCCAATCGACATCCACACCACCTTTACTCTTGAGAACCTCCAGACTCTTCTCCGTAACAGGCCCGTCGTGATACCGAGTAACATTCTGCCCACCCGCTTTCCCAGCCTCCCGCTTCTCGACCGCACGCCACGCCGCAGCCGACAGCGAAGCCAACCACGCATTATACGACAATGTAAACGCAGCCCCAATAGTGTATCCACGATCTACTCTCCGTAGATACTCATTAAGCGTCCCCCTCAGTATGGTATCGCAGTACAAACCCTTGCTCTTCTGATCTTGAACGAGAAGGCCACGAGAGACCCAAACCAGATTGTACATGTCGCGCAGACACCAATTGAATGCATCAGTGACTTCTGCGGGGTAGTATGTTTTGACCGGCTTGGGATGCGCATCGAAAGCTAGCTTGTAGGAGCCGATGATGCCGCAGATGCGGGCGAGTGTTGTTGGGGAAGCGTCCTGGGAGAGGAGGTAGACGAGATGCATTGGCGGGAGATGGATGGGGATGATGTGTGGTTTCGAGGAGGTGCTGAGGAGTTCGTAGAACGAGAGGATCGATGACGTGAGGGTGGTGTTGGAACCTGCGGGGATTGATACGAGAGCGGAAGTGAATAGAGTTGCCACATGCTCGATTAGGTCGCTTAAGACTTCCTGTTGTGTCTCTCTTTGGTCGGCGGCTCCGGACGCTGTCTGGGTTATTTGGTGCTGCAGTAGAGATGTGTAGAAATCGACGAGCTTCGCATATGCGGTGATGCCGTGAGGTGCTAGAGCTCGTTCGACAAAAGATAGATAGGTCGTATGGGCGTCATCGAACACTTCGATCGGAACATAGGAGACAAGTCTTGATAAAGAGTCAAGGTCTTGCTGACCGTCCCATATCGGTAGGTACGCGCGAAGGAACCTCAATACTGTAGGATGCAGTGACTTTAATCATCAGCTGGCTGCACGTGAAACATGCTAACGCACTTACCTTCATGTACTGAGCGTACCTGAGAAGTCCATCGAGGATTTCAGATAGGTACTTATCGTTTGCAGCGCCTTGCCGGTACTCCTCAAACTGCTCTTCCAGGCACGTCGCAAGCCAATTTGCTAATCGACTGGCTGTGATTGGTGATGGCTTCAGATCGATGTACTTCTGTAGCAACGGGTCCACGAGGAGCGCTACCAACTGGCCCGGTGGCTCTATCCTGTCGAGCTTCTCCACAAAATCGTCCACACTATCAATGCCCTCAAGGGTTGCTGAGTTCTGTCACACAACGTTAGTACCTGCCAGGATGATGAACAAAGATGTTCGCCCACCTCGGTCGCATGGTAGGTATGCACGTCCGGAATCGCCGATCCTTTGCTGCCCTTGAGTCTTCTTCGTAGCACCTTGAAACCGTTCTGCCCGTCTACATTCGAGTCGTCTTCCGCCACACTAGCCTCTTGGATGGCAACGATCTTGGCTTGCCATTCGGCATCAGGTCGCTATTGAGTTAGCTTGCATCCGGCAGTGCCACAAGGAGATGCGGGGAAGTAGCGTGGGGGATCTAAGGTTGCATTTGTGGTGGTACGAGAGACGGATACTCACCGGAGCGAACGACTTCCGGCTTGTGGAAGTGCTCCCGAGTATTATGTCGGGATAGTAATCCTTGTAGACACGGAGGAGACCTTGGAGCGCAGGCTCGTTGCTGAGGCCGCGAGACAGCTCTAGTCTGGAGTAAGATCAGTTATCGGTATCTACATCGTATTGATGCTCAAAACCCTGTACATACAGCTGTTGAATCCGGAATGGTTTAACGTGTTTCCTGCGGGTGATCAAGGACAGCAGATGGCACAAAGATGTCCTGCTAAATTTAGCACTTATGTTCTTGGTAACAGGCCAAAGTAACACACCTGATACTGATCATGTCGAGCATGCCAAACAGCACACCATATAGTCGGGACAAGACGCTCAAATCTTCCACGACCTCATGGATTGCGATGAGCCATTTCACAAGACTGTCTTGTGTACCGGGCGAAGGCTTGCCCTTGCCCTGCCCCAGCGCACCAACAATCGTGATGACAACATCGCCTGGAACCTTCTGAGACGGGTACAAGTTCTTGATCAAAGTCGTGATGGTGGTTTGGTCTAGCAGGGTCTTCACCGACGCGAGCTGCACTATGTCTCGCAGGGCTTCCTGGTCAAGGCCATTTTCCGAGGCGTAACGGCAGATGACATCGACTATGCTGGAGACCTTGACGGTCCGTTGCTTTGCAGTTGTTCTAGATGCTGCAGGCCGGTGTAAGCACTGATCCTGACCGGGCTCGTTGCCGCATATCGACACCTACCTTGATGCAGTAAGTTTAGCGTCTCCTGCAGCGTGGGCCGCTCTTCTGCTGAGTCCATCAGTAGCTGGCTTGGAGCGAAGTCGATGTGGGGTTACCGGCGACCGATGGCATCACGCTACCAGTGTTACGTGCATACAGTAAGACAGTTGTCAGCCGTTGTTGTATGAGCCGTTGATGGTGAGACGCGTCGCGATGGTGGTTGTTGACAGCCTGATCGCGCCTTCCCCGTTTCGATGGGCTACGAACAAGCGAGCAGCCCCGCTAACACATCGCGGTCGACACACCCCTTCCACGGTTCACTCTGCTCGCACCAGATTGCTTCAACGATGCCATCAATATATCACCAGCCTCGACATCATCGCCAATATTCATGTGTGGGCACACAGCATCGCGGCTGCCGGTCTGGCCATCCGCGGCTCGTTCACGCTACTCGTGCTTGATTCAATCAATCGTGCAGATGTCACCCGCATGGCCGTGTCATCACTGGAGCATGCATCGCAGCTCTCGCCATCGCCACATCGAGGTCAACCCTTTGTGTTACACAGCAAGCATCGAAATGTAATGATTGCGGCTTGCGCAACTGCTACTGGCCCGCTGTGGGTGGTGGCCTTGCGGGTCAGCCATCAACTCAAGCACGCCTCCTGCAACCTTGACTCGAATTGTACTGACCCCCGCGCGTTGTACGCCTTGCCCGCCATGACAAGCACGCGTCGGGTATCGACCTTTATTGTCAACCTGGCTGTTGGTCCTTGCCTTGAAAAGAGTGGCGGGCTTTCCTTGGATCCTCATTCAATGTTCTCTATCAGGACGGCCAACGGATCTCTAGGACTGCCCTTCATCTACAGTAGGCTGACACGCGCATACCAAGGCCACCATGGTGGTCAACGTAGAGCCTTGATCTACGACTGGATGTGGCGCCATCTATTCTCGATACACGATCCTGCTGCTACCCGATGCAACCGTCGCCGTGCACTTATACGCCCGTTGTGCTCCTTACTGACATGCGCGAGCACGCTACGGCAACGCTTCTGTCGTGTCAGTCATGGCTACGGACGGGAGCACGTCATCCAATCGGTAAGATCGCCGCCCACTACGGTAGTGGATGCACTTCTTTATCTGCACCGGAGAGTGCCTGGCCGCGATCATGTACTACTTTCTTCGTTCTTTATCTGGTACCACCCCAAGTATTACTATCTATCGTATCGACATACATCTTCAGGAGCTTCATTCTAATTGAACAGGGTGGGAGGAGCTCCAGCTACTATTAACAAGGTCACGGTCCACTCGGCGATCCACAAGCGCTCGACATCAGCACCTCATTTGACGATTCCTGGGGTGGCTACGGCCAACCTTGCATAGCTGCTTTTTGTACTCCTGAGTCCCATAGCCGGGACCGTCTACCTTGCCATTCAGCATAACATCTTACGCCCGTTGCCGGCTGGCTTCGGCTTGCAACATCAACCGGCACAGTGTTCTGACGGTGTCTCTTCCCTGCAAAAGCAAGAGTCGATTCGCTATGGGAACTTGAGTTGGGCGATCGAAATATAAGAGCCGCGCTTTTGCAAACGATGCTCAAAGCAATCTCAGATCTTCCTCTCGACTAGCTCACCTAAGACCTTCTGGTGCTTTTCTCCCGTCACCATAGTAACATCCCCAGCCGCGTAGTGATGGGTGAACGAAAGAGCCAACCGTCTTCAAAGAGCAACACACGTCGACCGAAGATGACTTCAGCATCTAGCAGGTCGACCGCGACGCAGAATCCATCTTCCGAAACTGCCAAGATTGTACGATGTCCCACACAGACTCTTGAACGATTGCGCCGCCTGAACGAAGCAGAAATCATCACCTTGTTCACCCCCTTTGTACCTCATCCGCCATCGACGACACTGGCGAAAGACATGGATCCTTTCGAGCCTCTCGGTCGCGCTTTACCAAGACAAGTGCGACACGTCCCATACCGTCTGGATTTTGGTATGACAGAAATGCACGCCGATTTCCTACCAACCAGTGGAGCTGTCATCGTCGTCATATGCGCCACCTCGAACGTCATCAGCAATCATGCGCAGGCTTTTGAACGGCAATTAAAGTTTGCACGGAGCATTTCGAAAAATATAGCGAAAAGCGATACTATACCCGGACTTCCAACGATCCTCATTCTCATCGATGATGGAGCTATGGGCCAGTCCTATGTCAACGCCGCATACGACTTTCCAGCACTTGTCACTGTCAACGACTACACTACCGCAGCGCTTGTGGATGCGGTACACGTCCTATTCGGCAACTGAAAAGCCTGTCGTTCCTGTACAATATCATCCGACAGTTCTCCTTTTCAGCACAGGAAACGAATGGGGTTGTGAACGCTCGGAAGTGCGGTTCGAACGAGATAGTCCATCTACCTTCCTGCTCACTACATTTACTTACACAATACGACATCACTATAACGATGGATAACATGCAGCTGTAAACCTGCAGCATACATCACTCTTTCTTATTTGTCGCCATTTCCATACGTCGTACATAATGTATACATATCATTCCCGGTGGCGCGAAGTCGCTTCAACTATTCCATCATCATCCGTGGAAATGTGTGGTCTTTCTGGAGGTATTCCTCAGATGTACCCAGTTCGCAATATAGCAATATAACTACTTCTTCCTCTAATCGTCTTTCCGCTTCATGGCGACAAAAGCTCATTGCGCGGATGTGCCCAGAGACCAAGGCTATATTCACCAACACGGATGGTAGCAGAGACGTACATCAACAACGGACGCGTACGCCATCTCCACCGCTATAAGGCGACGTCGTGTGTAAGAATCACCAAGCTCTAAGGCTAAGAGCGGTTTAGGTGGGATCAGGGATGTAATGCTCGCTACTGTTATCAACTTGAAGAGTACGACGTAAAGCAGATGACATGAAGAGAACGTCAGAGTACTGTGAGAACACATATTGCGCTCTAATATCAGATTTTGTGTTCGTGGTGCTCCATAAGCTTCTGTTCAGCATGAGACGCTGATAGGTAAGTGGTTCCAACCGGGTTCCAACCGAGTTCCAACTCAGTTCCAACCGGTATTCACCGAGTCTTTACTCAGTCTTTACTCAGTCTTTACCGAGACTTTACCAGCACTTTTTGCCCACCATGCCTGATAGACTATTGGCGAGCCACTGAACGCACAGCGTTGTCATGTGTATCGAGACCCCAACACTACGACCCTCATATAGTTGCATTCTAATTGCTATTCGAAAGTTTTGTTATGTGAGCCGGATCAACCTCGGCTGACCCTGGCTTCGCGTCTTAGCTTTGTGAGCTCGGCTGTCCTCGAAACTTCCTCCGACATGCTCAGCTGTCCTTCGCTTCGAGCTCGGCTGTCCTCGATCCAAACTCGGCTGTCCTCGAAACCACAGTAGCTTCGAGTTCGGCTGTCCTCGAAACTCGCTCCGATAAATTCGGCTGTTATCTCAAATTCCTCCGATTCTGTGCTCACCGTCTTTTCTCCTGTTCCATCTCATCTCTTCCTAACTCCAGTGCATCGCATCCCATCGTCGTCGTCGTCGTCGCCACCGCAACGCGTTTACTGCACCGCATCTCACCATGGACCTCCTCGACTACATTAACATGCGCGAGAAAGAAGGTCAGTCGATTTCGACGTTCCACAACTGCGATACTGATTCTCATCCTCAAGACACGGCAGCTTACCATGCCGCTCGCAACGCCGATCGGACAGCAGGCAAACGCCCTGCACCCGGCACTGATCCCAATCCCATACATGGACCCAAGCCGAACGAAGACAACCGTCCAATTCCATTCAACGTATCCCACGACCTCAAATGGGGGTGCCCCATCTGCCCCGAAAAAGACGACATCAGCCGGGCCACCCCGAACCCAAACCTCAGCCGCTGCAGTGCCTGCAGGGTAGTCTACTACTGCAGCCCAGAACACCAAGCTGCTGATCGACCAACACACAAGAAATTCTGCAAGAGAATCCAGAAAGCCACATTTGTCCTGGAGAAAGAGGAAGCTGCGCTCAAGGCGCACAAGGCAAAGAGGGGTTCGCCTAACCCTTTCAATACCAAAACCGATGATGTCTGGAAGAATGAAGTAGCACGGAAATACATGCTATCAGGCAAAGAAGTCGTGCTTGAGATGATTCGCATCAACACGAAGACTGCCTTGGAAAAGGCTCTGGAGATTATCGACGCCCTGACGAGAATGAGTTACAAAGACCCTATGGGATTACGGTGCATCACTCCCTTTCTCCTCATCCGCCTAGGTCAAGATCAAGAATGTTACAGCCTCTGTGAGTGGTGGGTCATAGAGGGAAATCACAGTAATTACGACTGGCGGAACCCCGTCGTGATGCAAAATCACATGAAAGAAGATTCGAACGTGTTCGAGTCGGTCAAGCAGTTCACAAAGGTTAGAGACTACCGCTACAAGGTGCACAGATACAACCCGCCCAGCGTCTCTGATCTGTCCCACCTCGTCGCCGTCACGCTCGTCAAGATACGCGCTCGCTGGGGCCTTCTGGCGACTCGCAATTGCAAGGTAGTAACGTTCCAGGACCATGTCTGTACCAACTTGGTGTGGAACAATCCGAAGATCAAGATACGCGAATTAGAGGATTGCATTCCGTTGATCAACGAGCTGGAGGAGCACATCACGAAGCTATATATTGCGGTTGACGGGATGAACCCGCACTTTTGGCCTGCCTTGTTGAAACCGGGCGACCATTTGACGGCTGTCCCAAACCAGGTGTATTGGGGTAGCGAGGGAGAGATGCAGAAGACGTTGCAGGAGTGCTATAATGCTTGGGCGGAGACTGAGGGCGCGATTGGTCTCATCAGGGAGTTATCGGATATCGCCATTGATGAGGATCGTAAAGTGGCTGCATTGAGTCCAGAAGAGTATGAGGCTGAGCGTGCCAGGGCTTTGGGTTCCGAGCGCTCCAAGCGTCCGATGCCTGAACCATGGTAATGGATTGAAGATGGTTGTTTCTTCAGGTCATCAATGCTGCTGGAGTTTTAGGGATGTGTAGCTCATCATTAGCATCCTGATGCAGTCA